AATTACAATACAATTTCAAACTTTCAAAAGTTTTTCAACAGTTCTTTGAGTGAAACTTTCTCTGTAAATGTTACATGGTCCAAATTTGTGAACCAGGGTTTGATAATGGTAGCTGTTGTGTCTTCCTCCCAATCTTGCACATACCCCAGAAGCTGCTTCAGTTGCAGTTCAGAATTGCAGTTTTGATGACATGACTTGATGTCTTCAGGCTCCGACACTCTTACCTCAAGCACATGACATGTGTAACCAAAGGCTTGACCAAGACTCTTGTACACTGCATACTCCCAACACTTGGTGTAGACACCATCCACTACAACAAAAGGGCATAAATTTGCCATAGCATCCAGGAAACAAGAGCGACAGTAAGCCTCGGCAATGTTTAGTTCACAGAGATCTAAGGCTATAGCACCTTTCTTTTGAAATAACTGTCTTGAATTACAATATGTTAATCCACCTGATTCTCTGGCTTCTTCTGAGTTTTCAACAAGATGTGTTTTTCCACTTCCAGGAATGCCTCTCATTATTATAACAACTCTACCTGTATCTTGAAAAGAGTTACTGAGTTCTGTCAGTTTTGCAAGACCCTTGTCCATCTCTGAAGCATTCCCTGAGTGAAAAAGTGCTTTGATTTTATTTCTTTCATCCTCACAAATCTCCTTCTTTTCAAACAAATAATCTGCATATTGGCAGAACTTTGGTGGCAAGGTGGAAGACAGTGCCTTCAAGGAGTTTTCCACTGCTGAAACTTTCTGATGAGTACCATCGATAGCTTTTGGCAGACTTCTGGAGAACAGAATGAGAGACTCCACAGCCTGTTCTCCAAATTGAAGGTTAGATTTCATTAACTCCTGCAACTTTCTAAGTAACTCATCAGTTAAAGACCTTCCTCTTGTGATAGTAAGATGAGGTACAAACTGATCTCGGTTTCCTTCCAAACTTATTCCAGCCTTTTCAAACTTAAATTTCAATGCTTGGACAATTTTCAACAACCTGTCATCAGGATCAACTTTGGCATAAAGAATTCTGTTGTGAAACTGTCCAAGACCATTGATTTTTAGTTTATGCCTGAGTGGAAGAAGGGACACCAATAAAGGTTGGATTGACTTGAGAATGCTCTTAGCAGTGGCTATGTCATCTTCATTCTTCAGAGTTAACATTAGCAAGGTGATGTGTAAGCTTTGACTTGGCGTTACTTCATACTCTGCTTCTTGGCCAAGCTCTAGGTGGATCATACTTTGGATCTGCAAAAATAAAGGTAGTTTTATTAAACCCTTTGAATTACAGAAGTGACTATAATTATGTAACTTCTCCCCAAATTTTCAATGTATTATTTGGCAAACATTATCAATACAATATCAACCAGACAAGCAATGGGAATAAAGACAAATATCAATTTGGGGATTATGAGTTGGTACAATACCAAATTCTCAGAACTAACATGATAAGAATTGTAAAGCTGACAATAAGGAGAAATACTAATGAGGTCTCGGAATTTAAAGGGTTACAATTCCCTCCAATTAAATTCTAAACTCACCTTGTTAATGTTTTCAATTATTCCCTCATCTGAAATCTGAATTGCAATGAAATAATTTGGTCCATTCTTTTCTTTAACAGACTTCAATTTCAGAAGCTCTGAAGCATTGGAAACAACTCCAGTATCAGGCACTGTTTCCTCTGTGACTTGCTCTTGATCAGAGTTTTGTGGCATACTGATCCTCTCTTTGACTTCCAGAATGGTCTCATTGCTTCCTGTAGATCCAAAGACTCTATCAATACGCTCCCTTTTGTCCCAAACAATTTCCCCCAGGTACTTGAAATACTGAATTCTATGACGAGGAATGGCAAGGTCAACAAAGTGATCCACAGAAGCCAGATCCTCCCATGACAGATCTGTGAAGTCTTTCTCTACAATTCCAACAAATCTATCCAGGTAACCAACCACAAAATCTTTTGGTGAAAGCTCCTCGTCCCATTGTATTCTGGAGATGACATCACTTGCTGTTTTCATGGGAGGTTTCTTCTTGTTTAAGACAACCTCTTTCTTTTCATGATGCTTATTTCCAGAGTTGTAAACAGACTTTCCTGCACTTTTTACCTTTTCACTATCATTGGTGGAATCAGATCTCTCCTCAACATTTTGCACCCCACTATTAGCTTGCACTCCTTCACCATGTTTATTTAAGCACTTGACTCCAAATCTACACTTCCCTTCAAGAAAGAATTTGCAAATATTGGCTGTATTGTCAGGAGAGTTTTTCTCTCCTTGAGAGGAAAGCATCAGTTTTTCAGACGATTCCATTTTCTTTAACCAGTTCTTAGATTCTTCAGTGAGATTATAAATCATTACTTCACCACAGCTCTCTTGTGCAATGCGGTACAACAGTGATTCCAATTCTGTATAAGCTGGTTGATTATCTTGTGTAACACTGATGGAAGGTGCAATATTGGGGTAGTTCTCTAGAGGAACAAGAAAGTCTCCTTAAGAAAATAACAGAACTCTGCAGTAATCACAATTAGTTATGCTTCTGAATTTCAGAACCTCCTAAATGATACTTCACAGACAGATTTCTTTCATAAGGTAAATAAACTTAAAAATCCCTAGTACTATTTTATCCAGAACACTTTGACATATCACCCCCAAATCACATATCAAGGTCACCAGAATAAAAGAATGGTCATCAACTAAAGAGGCTCTTGATTGGTTAAAAAATTCTCCTTGCCAGGTCCTTAGGAAATGTATAGAGAACACTATGGAGAATAAGTATACTGATCCTCGCAGTAATGAATAAGTTAATACTGATGTTATGATGCATAATCGCTTGATGATATGTCTTGTAACTACAGAGTCATTTATACACGAAAGTAAGTAAATCATTGCGTAAGGGTTACACTTCAAGAAAATTAGAATAGGGGCTTATACAGCCAGGCTATTTTTCTGTTCATTGCGTAAGGGTTACACTTCAAGAAAATTAGAATAGGGGCTTATGCAGCCCGGTTATTTTTCTGTAAGTAATTGCAGTCGAGACTTGCTAAGCAGGTGGGAAAAATCTTAGCCACTCAGAGGACAGTCTTGAAAAATTGAAGATGTACTCTAGTTTAAAGCGATCGTAGCGAAAATAATAAGGCTGTTCGTATGAAGAATTATAAATCCAAGGTAAGTTTAGAATATGGGAACTAATGAAGAAAAGTTATCTCACCTGGTAATGTGAAAATTATTTTTGTCTTACTCTGTTGAAAGTTTACTTCATAAGACACAGGTTGATTCTCTTCTGATCTCTTTACCGAAACAATTTCCTCTCCGTAGATTGATTGCAGTGCTTCAGCTTCCATTTCACGTTCTTCAGAAGAGTACTCCATATTCTCAAGACGAGTGTTATCCCAGAAATTTAGACTAATTTTGACACAGATCACAGAATTTTGGAAATTTATTATTCCAGCAAACAAAATTGCATTTTGTGGTGCAACTGTTTATGGCCGTGAGAAAACTGGACCCTTGATTAAAAGTCAGTTCCAGGTCTCCGTTCGTAACGCTCTCCTATTTAGAATACGTCACGATTTGGAATACCTCTAAGAAAAGATTTATATGCTAAATACTCTTTGACTTAAGACCTGGAGCCATTTAGCTCAAATGATTCACTGCACCTTTCCAGCCTGCGGAGCCAGTACTATATACCAATATCTCGTTGTTAAATTAGGCAGTTTCTAAGCAAAAACTAATTTCACCTCAGGCACTTTTAAAATAACTTTTTACTTATTTGTCATAGGAATAGTTTTAGTCAAATGGTACTTTATTTTTAGAGAATTTTGGTTTACTTTTACTTCAGGGAACCGCCCTGAAAACCACGTACTTAGAGTGATGGGAGTCTCCTCTCAGAATATTCATTTTGCTTTTATTTCCCATTTTCATAAATTGGGAGCAAAATTTGACTGCAGCCTCGGATCGCTGATGGTCGAAGAGATTTATTATCACCAGACAAAAGATCTCTCTGCGCAGTGCAAATGGCCACCGGCTTGAAGGAATATTTTCAAGCAAATCTCCATTTTATCTTGTGTAGTGAGTCCGCAAGATGTTTTTCAAGGTTAAAATCACTTGAACTTTCTAGAAAATCTCTATGATGATGTGCATAATGAAAAGACACTTACTAGCAGTGGAATGTAGCTATATGAGGTTTTCATCGGGCTTTTTTTTCCCCCTTTTTGCAAGGAAATATGCAAGAATCTTATAGAAACTTTTCTATTTTTCTCATCTTAAGTGTATATATCCGATCCGGTCACGCTTAAAATGAAATCGTCAGATAATTATATTAAATCCGTGGGCGATATGAGTTTGTGTTAAGACGGGGTGAAATTTGTGAAGAAAAAAGTAATGTCGGTACTTAATCGATCTAAAGGGCAGTTAGTTTACTATTTTGCAAAAGCCGGCAAATCTAAAATAAACAAGTTTGATCGACGTGCCATATTATAAACTAGTTTCTACTCCTTGCTTTCTCGAGCCGTACTGGGACCGAGCGCAGCGCAGCGCAGCATCACTTTCACGTCTTTCCTGGCGTCGCCATGGAGACTGCAGAAAGGCCTGTACTACAATTGAACGTGAACCGATATTGTTTAGATCATGTTGAGTATCTGTTACTACATTCCTCATTCTATATCATGCACAACAGGGCACTTGAGTGACCCTTAATGATGGCTAAAACGTCATTTTCGTAATTCTATGTGTGACAGCTAATTTTACGACCAGTCATCTGTTTGGCTAAATATTGATACAGGAAATTCACTTCTTGTAGATAACTACAGTACCTAGGTTTTGATCTAACTTAAAGAAATACAAAGAAACCACCTTCGTACATGAAACCTGCCGTCAAAGCAGGTCTTCATATATGATAACCTGAAGTATATCGAATTGCATGATTTTAGAGGCTGCACAACAGCTTAAAATAATTTGAAAACATGATAAATCTGCATTGAGCCCCCGAGCATCTAGACCGCTGGTGTCCCCGTGTCTTCGAGCTTTCTCTTGGAATTTCGTAAATGGTTAAAAAGAAATGTTGTCTGATTTCAATGTGACTAAGGCCTAAGTTCTGAAAAAGAGGCAAGTATGCGGATAAATATTGGGCTTCGTAAAGTATCAATCTCATGATTGTTACGTTTCTACTGGATATACTCTACTGTGTGGAATATAGCTCTACCAAATTGAATTTTTTATTTATTTCTGTAGACTTAATGACTCCAGGCTCTTAGAATTAACGCCACTTGAAATAATAAAAATTATTTTTATTGAAACTCATTTTTTCCATTCAATATAACTGTGTCACAGCTCCGAATATCAAATATGCGGTATTGAGGCGTTGAAGAAATTCATAAAAAAACATGCAGTGATAAACTTTGCATCATTTGGCGAGTAGTTCTGGCTAACTAAGGCAAAAATTCCAAGATGTGGCTCTTAGTGGCAGCCTTCCTAGCTTGTTTTGCTTCCAGTGCAAATGGCCAAAACCAAACAATGCATGAGATGTCTTTTGACGATGGAAATTTTAACGTATCGTGGACACACAACAGAAGTACGGAAGAGTTAGAGTTTGAAGTTAATGCCAATGCAATAGGTTATGTTGCCTTTGGGTTCACCTTTACGCCAGAAGACATGCAGAACTATTCTATTGTGGTGGGAGGCACAAATGGCTCCGGACAGAATTATTTCAATGTAAGTTTGTTTTTTTTTTCATTCTTTAAGATGTGCAAGATTTATCCCCAGATGTTCTACTTAGTGACCCCTAGAGAGCTCGTCAGTGAGACAGGCCATGTGTACTGCAGGTTTATTGTAGCACATAGCACTGCCACATACTGCTTGGATCAGTTGTGTCGATCCTTCTTTTCCTTAAGTGTTTCACAGGCTTAGTATCAGGCAGAGAGGGTCAAACTCCTGATCACTGATTTCGTTTCCGGGAGAGAGATCCGACTAAAATAGGGACCGTAAGCGACTGCAATGAGAAGGTATCCAAACAGTTGATCTAACGGGCAGAACAATAACTCAGCTTGTTCGTTTTAAAACTTTTTACATTTCTTAGCCGTCCTCTGCAAAAAAACAGCGTGAAATCACCAAAACTTTCGAGATCTGAGAAGGAAATTCTGACGGCGCATCATTTGCGTCTCCATCTGGAACTCAACGCTGATTATAAACATTACTCTGAAGTTTAGGTGTGGCACCGATAAAGACAGTTAACACATCCAGCCGTTCGCAAAATTCTAACTAAAAATGCAAACTAATTTTTAGTCAACATCTTCCTGAGCATTGCCATCCTGATCGCTTAAGGCCCCTTTTAATTTCTCTTGCTCTAAACATGTGTTCTTCATTGATTGTAGCAGGAACGCAGATGACGTTCGAGCCGAGTCGAAGCTCAGCTGAATTCTGTTTACAGGCTTTATCCTCTGCAATATTGCTCTTATTGCAGTTTTACATATATGATCAATTCGTAACAAAATCCAGTGTCTCCTGTTCCTATTTAATTTACAATTTTGTTTAACCAATACTAACTCAAATTCGCTATGGAAAACATCTGGGACACCACCTGTTTCTCACAAAAAATTCGTTTTTCAATCCAGACGGTCTTTTTGAGTTCTGTTGGTTTTGTGCAGCCAGCGTTAGCTTCAAAATATTTACTTATGATATGAATAGGTTAAAATTCATGGTCCTGTTTCAAACGCTCATCAAAGTATAGTAACTATGGAGTGAAGCGATTGCAATGCTTTATTTGAAATTTAAATTTGCTTTGTATTGCAGTCAGGTTCGTCATGGTTGTTAATTAAAATTAGTTTCGGAAACCGGCAATTTTTTTTTTAAACTTAGTCAGGTGTAAATCTTAATCGCTCGGAAAAACCCGGAGACTAATAATCTCATTTGATTCTTTTTTTTAATCATACCTGCGCCTCTCGCTCTGGTATTCTCGCATTCAAGCCTGCAATCAGTACTTCAGCAGATATTGTCCACGAGATGATTTAGATCACGGAAACATTGTGTATGTAAAGTATTTTCAGACCATCAAAACATTAGTTGTATTGTCTTGAAATTTTCAGAATATATCATTTGGACTCTCCACGCAACTATAAAGGGGTAACTCCCAGCATTTTTATCATATTAATGTTTATATTAACTTTCTGTGAGAAGAATTTAAAAAGTTTTCACTCACAACCTCTAGAGTTACCACACCAGTGGCCTCGGGAAACTTACCCTGGATGCGGACCCGCAAATTTACATACTGGACAGTGCTGAAGAACAAAATGGCACTACAACCCTGCGCTTCCGACGACCGCTGGAGACAAACGACAGTAAAGACATCCAGTTTAACGTAAGCATCTTAGCTTAAGTTGTAATTCAAATAGAGCGATTTTCGATTGCGTGTCGAAGAACCAAACGCTAAGTAGACTGAGTACCAGGCCTTCCATGGGAAGGGGGAGTGGGTCTGAGCGTCCTATCATTGAGCAGATGCATGACGAAGCAGAACTAATTTCTTTCGAAGCTCTATTTCTTGTAGTGAATTAAGTGCAACTCAGAATTTGGTAGAGAGAATCTGCGCTCTATGAGTATCTTTCTCATTTGACCATCCATGGAATAACCCTTCAAAATTGAATAATCTGCAAAGTAATGTGATGTTAGTTTGTGAGGTGTCCTGCGAATCGGAAGAAAATGATATTTTGGTTCGTTTTTCTGCGCGTCGAAAAATTATTTTTAACTTGAGGAAACCACAAAATATTGGTTTGGTAAAATAGAAAAACGTGAATAGGTGGTTATTTACATAGAAAAAACAACGATGGATAAGCATGGAGGAGATTTCATCAAATTGACGACAAAAAACTCAGAAAATCTACGTTAGCTTTTACAAAAGGCAAAATCAGTCCGTAACATGGTTCTTTCCAAACGTCTTATTTCTACGTTGCAGGAGACCACTCGTGTGTTCCTTGTGTGGGCTTATCATAAATATTCGGATGCAGATAATGTCGTTACGTACCACACAAACAGAAATTACACAGAACAAGCCATGCAAGTTGTCTTCCCGCCTGTGGAAATGACGTCAACACCTCCGGCCGTCATGACCAGGGAACGGCCAAACCCGGAATCCTCCGCAGTTCAAGTGGTTGTCAGTGCTTTCACGCTCTCTGTCTTGGCAATTTCAGCACTTATGTTTTGAAGTAGCTCTGGTTCATTAAAAAAAAAAATATAAAATAAAAGAAGCTATAGCAGTTCAACAGGCACCTGCCCGCCCAAGAAGGGCAATCTCACTGCTTTTTGCAACAAATTAGAGAAGCAAAATTAGTCTCATTCAAAGGCATTCTGTGCTCATTTCGCCAATCGGTAAAGATCGCTTCACGTATTTTTTCAGGAATTCTGATTGCCTTCTCCTTTTTCTTTTTAAGCCAATATATTATTTTCGTGTTAGAAGTTTTGGATGATATAGACTGGTCCAAATAGTAAGACCAATTTGGTTTCCATGGCAGACTTGAAATTGGATAGGCATGCCTTGTTTTGGTTCTTTTCTAAGAAACAAAAGAAGGAAAACTTCCCATCAAACATTTTTGATGTGTTACTGACCTATCAAATAAGTTAAGAACCACCAAAAAATTTCAACGAGTCAAGGTCATGCCTTGTCCAGTTAACCTGCATATTATCCATACTATTCCTTATACATTTCCTAAGGTGCTCACAATGAGAATCTGTGCAACAATCAAGAGATTCTTTAGTTGATAATCATTTCCCCTTTTTCTCTTGACCTTACAGTGTGATTCATGGGTAATATTTCCAGGAGAATTTAGATGGTGTCACTCTTAAGGGTCAAAAGTTAACCACTCCACAAAACGTTATGAACGGAATAAAATTCATCATGTTCAGCCTTTTGCTCTCATTACTTAAGTTGTATAGGCCCCTTCATAGGATGTTACATTTCTACAGTGACAACTTTAAGACACAAGTCTTGCTAGTCCTATACAGAGGTTTTAATATCTTTAGTAACATTACTCAAGGGCTGGTTAGCACAAGAAATGCATATTGCAGCAGAAAGAAATAAGATCAGTTGATTTCAATGTATCAAATAAGCACAGACATACAAGTCGCCTACCAAAAGCAATCCTTGGGAGTATTAATAAGAATCCCTGACAGAGAATTACAGTTATGTGATACATATTTTGTGAAATTTTGGATTTTCTATCAAAATAAGTTACTTTACAAGATTAGAGATTTTGATGCTGGTTTTCACTGATGATGGAGTTACAGTTGCTGTAACTCTCACTGGGTAGAGAACGCTTCTTCAATCTTGTATCACTCAAAGTGATCAGAGTTCTGGTGGAAAGCACTTAGATCACTTGTAATGAAGTGAAGAGTAAATTTTTGAAGTTGTAAATGAAAGCCATTGACTGAACCAATCATTAGCAGTTGTCGACATTTAACCCTTTAACTCCCAAGGATCTGATTGTTAATTCTCCCCACTAGCTGCTACACATTTCTGTGTGTAATAGCTGCAAGAATTTAGTGTTAGATCAAGATAACAACTTTAACCTGATAAGTTTGAGCATTCTTATTACCTGCTTGCTGGTTAATGTATGGATATTATAGGGAGAAGTCACATGTTAATCACTTAGAACTGGGAGTTAAAGGGTTTTAAGCATTATGATTGGTGCATTGGGGTATTTTTTGACTTCTTATAACCCAACAATTCAGGTTTCATTGGATTCTTACAAACAGACACTTTGCACTCAACACAGTAAAGCTTTGCACTACTGATTACATTTACAACTCAAGATTAAATAAAGCCTACCTAAATGAAACAAAATAAAGAATTGAAAAGAATTGGGTAAAAAAAAAAATAAATCAGGAGATCACTGGTCATTTGGCTTCTGGTTTTATCTCATTTAGTGCCTTTGGTTTAGTCAAATGATCCATAACAAAATTAAAGACAA